GCGGTGCTCCCTGTGCCGACCCCCGCAGCTGTGGACATTCAGCCTTCCGATGGCCAGTCTGGTTGCAGTGGAAGCACACCGCAAATCCCTTGGGGCAATCCTTAGCCATATGCCCCTCCTTGCCACACTTGTAGCAAGACCCTGCTCGACAAATCCCCTCGTGGCTCTTGCCGCACTTGCCACAAGTGCGGCCCTTCTGGTTCCCTGATCTCGAATCGGCGGGCTTTGCCCGCTTGGCTGCCGGCTGGGACTGTGCCGGTCGCCGATCCCTCCCTTGAGACTCCGCCTCCTCCCTGGCCTGAGTCTCGAGCTCAATCTCCCTCTTCCGAGCATTTTCCTGAAGCTCGGTAAATGTCCGGTACGTCGAGTTCGCCACGAACTCGCGAATGTCTCTCCTCAGAATACTCAGATATCGACTCATGCGTGCCTGCTCCGTAGACACATGCTCAGGGCAAAACATCGCCCTCTCGTGAAACATCCTGGTGATCGTAGTAACGGACTCAGTACCCTGCTTGAGGGTCAAGAACTACTGGGCCAACCGTTCCATTTCCACCGGGGGAACGTACTCATCTCGGAACATAGTGGTGAACCTCTCCCAGGTTACCGCGACAAGCTCTGCAGAAGTGAAGTGCGCTGTCACAAACTTCCACCAGTCCTTCGCTCCCAAGCGAAGCTGGTTCAGTGCGAACCGTACTCTCAGATGCTCCGGACACGAACATGTGTAGAAGCACCCCTCGATGTCAGAGATCCATCTCATCGTAGCTATCAGATCCTAAGTCCCATCAAACTCTGGTGGCTTCGTGTTGCTGAACTCTCGGAACAGCAACGAGTCACCCCCTACGGCCTGGCAGCAGCAACGGCTGCGGTGGCCGCAACAACAGCAGCATCAGTAAGAGCGGCGTACCGCTCATCAAAAGTCTCGATCAGCGTGGTCTTGATAGACCCAAACATCTCCGGAATCTCAGCCCGGATGGCCGCAGCCACCTCCTCATGAATCAACCTGTGGATCTCCTCATCACTAACACCGCTGCTCTCAGGTGTGTGGCGTGTCCCAACCATGATGTCTCTCTGAAATACAACATAAAAATATCAGAGACCCGCTCGAGCATACTCGCACTCGATAACTCAACCCTACTTGCTCTTCAGTACCCTAAGGATTCTTACTTGGACTGCGCACTGATCCGGTGTTTCCAGTAGTACGGGCCCTTATACTACCGTCCACACCGCATCAGTATTCACCCCAAGTCTTCCTCCTAGGATCCCAGATCACAAGTACTCTAACCTTGCTACGTATAGGCTACTCTCTAGCAGACCTCTCATACGCTCCTCGCTGCTACCTATTCACTCTCAAGCATCTCATAGCAGCAGAAATCTCCTAGGCTAAGGCATCACAAATCAGGCCACTCTAGTCCTAATATGAGTACCTAGCCTACTCTAGCATGCATAACATATCATAACGTATCTCATAACATATAATGTAAGGGTATTTTGGGAAATCACTGTTCGGGCGCTGGCTGACCGTACACAATGCTCTGTTCTGCTCGTCTCAAAACCTTTTACTCTTTTTAGAAAAATTGTTTTATTGCGAAAAATTCCTCAAATCCTCAGTTTGAGTTCAGATACGCCCGAAGGTGGGTCCGAATCCCTCAAACCAAGGCTCTGATACCAACTTGTAACGACGTAAATTTTCAAAACAATTTTTCATTTTTCAAACAACATAATTATCATTTAAACATTCTCAAATCTCATGTTCAACAATTGTCATCAAATAAAACATATCCCAAGATCACAAATAAAATCCTCGGTCTGTGTGTACGGATCACAAACATATCCAAGGCTCTGATACCAACTTGTAACGACGTAAATTTTCAAAACAATTTTTCATTTTTCAAACAACATAATTATCATTCAAACATTCTCAAATCTCATGTTCAACAATTGTCATCAAATAAAACATATCCCAAGATCACAAATAAAATCCTCGGTCTGTGTGTACGGATCATGCCGGCGCCTTCCCGCGATCGTCGCTAGTACCTGAAACACATTACACATAACACTGTAAGCATAAATGCTTAGTGAGTTCCCCAAAATACCACATACAACACATATTAGCCACTCGAGGCTATAACTCTGTATAACCCTCTGGTCAAAGTGTCTCAGTGGGACCCTCCAGTCCCATAACTCTGTAGACCCTCTGGCCCTAACTCTATGGACCTTCCGGTCCTAACTCTGTAATCTCTGAATCACACATAGCACAGAATCACATAGATATCACATCATATATTAGCATACAACATACTCTGTCACATACTCTAATTACCACTCTAGGTAAAGTATAGTGAGAAGACTCACATCGGGTAACTCGGTAAATCTCGAACTCGGAAATACTGATCTAGCCTCCGCCTAATCACATAAAATAATTACTCTAATCAATACGACTCTCAAATGCTAGGCTATTACCTCTCTAAGTTCTCTCAAGAGGGTAAAAGACCATTTTACCCCTCCAATGGCTCAAAAGTCCAAACATTGACTAGACCCTAAAAGTCAACGAAAGTCAACGGTCAACTTTGACCAGACTCGTCGAGTGCACATAGGTGACTCGGCGAGTCCAAGCGTGTCCTCTGGGTCTATCTAAACCTCACTCGACTCGTCGAGCGAACCTTCCACTCGACGGGTTACCACTGGTCATGAATCGCAGGGCAACCCGACTCGACTCGTCGAGTCCCCTTATGGACTCGGCGAGTTCCTTCCATGGCAACACTCAAACGACCTTCTGAGGTCAGATCTGCTTCTCCAACTAGTAGATCTAACCTTCTAGCACTCAAAAGTCACGTAAAGGTTCGAACTTTAGGCCCATGCATCACACTATCATCTCTATATGCCAAAATAACCCTTAATATGATAACCTAGGCCCAAAAACTCATAAAGGATTGCATAAAGCTGAAGAATAGGGACTCTCTGGACCTCTCAAGGTCCATATCCGATAATATTGTCACAAGGGGACATCACACACACTAGATCTCTTACCAAAAGTGAAGAGAAGAAACCCTAGATTCATGAAATCTATTACTCAAATGAAGATGGACATGAATCCTTACCTCCCACAGCAGCTCTGAATGAAATGATGGAAGATTTGAGTCCCACAAGTCATCCTAGCTCGAAATCCTTCCTTCCCTTTGCTAAAACACACCAAAGAATGATGAATTATCCCTCCTCTTACTCTACAAGCTTTCTCTCTGCTCTCTAGGGTTTCTCAGGGGTGTAGTGGCCGCAAATGAAGGCCATAAAGGCCTTTAAATAGGGCACATGCCCAAAGATTAAGGGTTTCTGCCGCCAGCACAGACTCGTCGAGTCACCTAGCCGACTCGTCGAGTCCATTCATTAATCCAGTCAGCGAATCGCGATCCTACTCGACGAGTCTAGGCGTCAACTCGTCGAGTCCCTCTCTTTAACTCAAAATAAAAGGTTAAAATAAAATAACTGGGAATCCGGATGTTACATGTATATATTTGTTTATATGTTTCTTTGTATATGTGAAATATATAGTATTTGTATGTGTATATGTGTAATTAGTATATGTATAAGTGTATTTGGTACATGTATATATGTATTTGTACGCAAGCACATAGAAATTAATGTATGTATGTGTATTTGTATGTAATGACCATGTGTGTATAATGTATATATATATGTGTTTAAAATGCATGTATGATGTTATGACTTAATTAGGTGTAGATGTCGAATGTAGTTGTGAGGTGTCGATTGTCATTGATTAGTTTCGATAGTTTGTAATGTTATTACAAGGGCTTGTTATGTTTCGAAGCTTACTGTGTCTAGTCTCTTGTATTTTTTGTTCTCTTTCATGTTCCCTATAAATAGGGAATTGTACTAGAGTCAGAGAAGAACTTTTCGTGTAATTGTCTAAAACACTTTGTCCTCATGAAAGCTTAATTGAGCCAAACATATATTATTTAGATGTTGTGTTCATCATTCATAATTTTACTCTTGTCTCGTAATACATACTTGATTTCATTACGGCTACATTTGGTATCAGAGCAGGATTCATACAGAATTGTTCTAACTTTCTGAGTTTTAGCAAAAGTTTTGAGTCTCATGTTAGATCTCAATTTTCCGCTCTTTTGCTTCAGAAAATAATCTTAGATCTTCTATTGTGAGTCAATTTTGCATTCTAGTTGTAAAATCGAGTGTTTGATTGGTGTTTTCTGAGTGTTTTAGCTGTTTGATCTCATTCCAATTTAAGCTTTTCTCAAAAACATTCCGTACAACAATAGCGAACTTCAACATGAACACGATGACGTCTTACTCTCATCTCCTTGGTTCATCAATGAAGATTCCAATGCTGATTCCCGAGTACTACGATCAGTGGGCTGATCGTATGGAGGATTACTTAAACGGAATCGATGAAGAACTATGGAAGTGTATTCTCGGTGATGTTCGTCCACCTCCTGCTGTACAGAGTATTGGAACTTCTTCCAACAATCAAAATGTCAATGAACAAACTGAAAGATTGTTGAAGAATGAGAAGAAGTGTATGAGAGAACCCAGAGGTGCTCTACCTCCTGTTGTTTACAATTACGTTCGTAGTTGTAAAACTGCAAAAGAGATCTGGAATACTCTAAAGAAAAAGTATCAAGGGAGTGAAAAGACAAAAATCAATTCAGCGAAAAATTGTGTGGTTGAATTAAGTGAATTTAAACAAAAAGAAAGTGAATCCATCGAATTGTACTATGATCGTCTGAATGAGCTCATCTACAAGTGCAATCGATATCGGAGCACCAGGTCAACTATGGAGTTTAATCTCACATTCATAATGGGCTTCGTAAAGAGTGGCAAAATGTTAGTCTGTTAGTCTGATGGAATGAAATATCAGATTCCGCTTGACTGAATTTAAACATGTTTGTTTGCTCTTGTGAATGTGTATACAATTGACTGACACCATGAGGAAATTGAAGAGACAAATTAACATGATTTAAAACCTAAACTAATAAGGGAATGTAAACGGATGATATCTATAAATTAGTTATATATTTCCACAAATGCAGCCCAAACACATTTCAATGATGCTTCTATTTAGTGACCAGGCTTCCCCAATCAGGTTGCATAAACACCAAACTTTCTAGACTGAGAAAGCTTTGAAATTTAGCTAATAATGAATCTACCATCCACAAGCCTGCACAAGATGTTCTTTACTTTATCAACATATTTAATATGGATAGACCTGTAAAGAGGGTCCTTTATATTCTGAAGTGGCAATTCTGCTTGCATATAACAATTAACAAGTATAGAAAAATGGATTTGCATCTCCTACAAAAGTGAATAAATATAAATTATATTACAGAAAAGTTTTCCACAAAGAATGATATGCTGAAGCTACGTTCATACTCTATCGACCCCCAACAACAGAGATGGTCACATTATTCACAGAGAAATCTTCTGCTTTGGTTTCATATGAAGTTGACTTTGAGGCGCCTCCACCTATCAGAAATGTTGGTCTGTTTGGAGTGGGTAATGATATGGAGTCATTGAGAAGCATGGAGATCATCCCTGACGTTGTTGGCCTATCTATTGCATTCTCTTGTACACACAGAAGGGCAACATGAACAGTCCTCAAGAATTGTTGTTCATTACAAGTATTTCCAAGTGACGGGTCCTTCAATTCCAACGAATCCCCTTGTTGCCATAGCACCCATGCCTAAATCATTCAAATAAGATTAATGATTTTGATCGACTTTTTTCCCCTTACTTTCCAACAAAGTGGTAAGGTTAAATTGTTTAATAAAATTCAACTAGTCAAATCCCCTTTGGTTCTGTAGCATACGTTAGTTAAGCCGTTTGGACATCGTGAATATATAGCTAGGTCAACCGAAATATATAATTGTGGGAGCAAATAAAGTAATATGGTACTCTCATTTTCATTGAAGATTGTATAGTGTGTAAAGATGTTAAAAGGAGATTTTGACTATACTTACATATCCAATAAGACTGAATGTCTCATCAAGATGAAAGAGGCTACTATTTCTTCTTCCACTGATGATTTCCAGGATCAATACTCCAAAGCTGAAGATATCGGACTTGATTGAGAAAACCCCCCTCATTGCATACTCAGGAGACATATAACCACTGAATACAAAATGGTCACCAACACTTTTTAGAAATAGATAGCATGGAATCAGAAAAACAACAAATTCATCTAAAAGATACTCTATCTATAATTGGATAATTGTGTTAGTTCTCATTTGTAATATTAAATCTAACTTTTTGCTAACAGATTGACCATCAAAGCATATAACTCAATGGGATTTTTGTTACTTCAAGAGAGATGATCACTTACTATGTTCCAACCACCCTGTTAGTCATTGACTCGGTCTCGTTCTGCTCGCATATTCTTGCCATTCCAAAATCAGAAATCTTGGGGTTCATACTCTCATCTAAAAGAATGTTATTAGCTTTTAGATCCCTATGAATAACTTTCATTCTTGAGTACTTATGCAAGTACAACAACCCTTGAGCAATTCCTTCAATAATGATAAATCGTTTAGGCCAATCCAACTCTGCCTTTCTGTTTTCATCTGCAAAAGCCAGTGAAAGAGTTTATAGTGAATATCACAAGTAAATTAAAGAATTGAATGCACATATATTTCAAACAATGCATACCAAATACGAAGAAATCTAAACTTTTGTTGGGCATATATTCATATATTAACATCTTTTCTTCTCCGTGAATGCAACAACCAAGAACTCGAACAAGATTTGTATGCTGAAGTTTAGCTATGAGCACTAGTTCATTCTTAAATTCCACAAGCCCTTGACTTGATGTTCTTGAAAGCCTTTTGATTGCAATTTCTCGCCCATCACTTAGTTTTCCCTGTTTTCATAATTGGATGATATATCTTTTTGTTAAAATAGATATACATATGCAAGATCCAAAAAGATCTATCATAAAAATTTGAAGTGACAGTAGCGTAACTTTGTAAACAGGTCCAAAACCACCTTGTCCGAGCTTATTTTCAATTGAGAAATCATTGGTGGCAGCCATGATAGAGGCAAAGCTAAACAATAGCAAATCATTTCCTTTCACACCATCCGGTTCAAGTCGATGTACATCCTTGAAGCTTTCAGAAGTTGTCAGCTCCACGAAATATTCATCTCTCTTCCGTCTTTTGTATTCTAAAATCAACATCAATGACTTAACAAAAGATGCAACTAGAAAGTACAAACATAAGCTGGATTTAATATCGTTGATGGTTTTATACCTTTTTGTCTACGCTTCCTCTTCTTTATATACCATAAAGCCCCAAAACAAAGGAAAACAAGAGTGATGGAAACACTAATGGATATCCATATCCAATTCTTGCTCTTTTGTGTTTTGTTTCCTGCAGTGTAGATTGTTTAGTTTTAAGGAGGTGTAAATGGTAGCAAAAACCATTAGAAATCAACATTATTACCTGTATTTCGATTGCCTAGATTTTGGCTGATCACATACTTTGACGTAGAGTTATCATGAGGATTAACCAAAAAACTATTGATACCTGTCCAAATTACACAACCACTTCCATTGATGGTACTGCTACTAAACCCCACACAATTGCAATCATTCCAGCACTTATCAAAACAATCGTTAATGCTTAAGCTTGAGTTCCCATCAGTTGCACTTTTTGTCCTATCTTGAGCAAAATCCCCATTCTTTTTACTAAAATTATCGTTCTCTGTCCTGCACTGAGGTAAACTCGACTCCATGCAACCATTACCAGAATCATATCCATAACAAAACTCAGGGCTCCAAGCAGTAGCATTATTAATATCTCTAATTTGGCCTTTTGGTGTTAAAATCCACATGGGTAAAGCAGCAATATTACCGTCATAGCTAAAGTATCTTGCTTTATTGTTGTATACAGAAGTGAGATTATACATGGATTGACTACCTGGGCCATTCAATGCAAACATATATTGAAATATTTTGTTGTTTAGATTCCCACTAGTCCAGTAGGGTCGTCCTCGTCGTCGAATCATTAATCTCTGGGATCCTTTTTGAGTGGGTTCCCAACTCAGAGTAAAAGGTCCTGATTCAGGGTTTTCATTGCTCAACCAAGAAGTCAAAGTCCAATTCTGGCCTGCTGTCATGTCATACCCAAGCTTCATGCCAGGTAAAAGTACATTGGTTGGGTGATCAAAACTCTGCCACAAAACTCTTTTGTCAACTTGGTTAATCAGCCGGAAATTACCATTATCTTCGAGGGTTGCAGTCACATTTGCGTTTGGACCCAGTTTAACATCGGTGATTCTCATTAGAGTTTTGGATCCTGCACTGATGACCAAGTCTCCGGTTTTGGCACTGATGGATAGGGTATGAGTGCCTGGGGTGGATATGATCGGTGCATTTGGATTAGCTACCCATACTTTTGTGGATTGAACATCGCTTGTGTACCAAATTCCCAAGTAACTGTAATCTTCACCAAAGAACCCTAATGTAAAATTTCCACGCACCGAAACAAGCTGGTCTGTAGACTTGAGTTGGCCACCAAGTTTGATTGTTGAAAATGAATCTGCAGCAGCACAAAATCTAATGGTGTAATCGGCACCATTACAAGTAAATGTAGTAGTCTGTAGATCCCATAGATCGGACGGGGTACTATACGTAAAAGATCTTGGGCACGCTGATCGAAACAACTGATCATATGCTGTTGGCTTGCACGATGAGGGTGACGAGAAAGAGTCACTGCAACAATACTCTGGAGAGTGAAAGGCCATGCAAGCGCTCATACACACCTTTCCATCGGCTGAACTTAGCTCGGTTGGACACTGCTGATTCAAGTCTTCAACACATCCCGTCTTAGCACAACTACGTAAACTGGAACCTGAACCGGAAGTCGCCTCCACAAGTATTGGCAAATTGTAGCCCTGGGCAATGTTGACATGATAAAAATCCTGGCTGTGGATTTGGGTTTGATTGATTCTGAAATCAACAACTGTGGCGGGTATCGTTACATCATATACACTACAAGCCATATCATTGGTGCCATTGATTCTGCAGTCACCTGTGGCACACGACCATTTACCTGACCTATTATAGTTGCAGCCTGTCTGACCCCATATACTACCAAGCCATACACTCGGAGCTTCAAAAGAGCGTGAAGTACCCTTTGTGAGCTCAAATGTAGTTTCATTTAAACTCGTTGTGCTAATGATGACAGGCCAAATGGTGAACCCACAGTCGTTTACAATATTAAAAGTAACCCCCAAGGTTCCTGCAAATTCGTATAAAATTGCATTAAGAACAAAATCTTACTGTTTATTTTTGGATACAGAAGCATATATGTACCTTTAGAAAAGAAGAGGAAAACGAGAAAACTCAGAATTTGAGAAACCACTGCTACATGAACTTGTGAAGATGCTGCTAACAACGACCAAGAACCCATTATTCATTCTAATCTTGTATTTTCTAGAAAATAGTATCGATTTCTCAAAAAGATGTGTAACTAAAGTTAGAGACGTGAATCTTCATCTCGATGTTACTGCTTGTATCCATATTGATGTTAGGCTTGAATGGAGCCAAGATCATCCATGATGGCCTTTGGGTGGTGGTGGTGGTTGTCAAACTTTCTTTTAGATTAATTATTAACTGGTAGTGGTGGTGATTTAAAAACTAAATATGTTCCACGTTTATTAAGGAAATATGCTAAGCAGAAGGAAACGTAATATTTGATAAAGCCAACTGAACGCGCAGCATGTTCATTAGAATTGGATGTATATAGTTGACCGGGTCAACACCATGGCATCTTTGTCTAGCACCATTCTCAATACTCGGTAAGCCAAGGCTTGAATATTATAATTCACTCGTGGTTTTCTTTGCATAATATACAAATGGGGACTTCCCAAAGTAATTCTACTAATGATACGTGCTTGGCTGCGTCGTCATCTTTACAGTTGCACATGGTAATATTGTGTCTCATTTGACAATTGCACATGGACATTGAGCAATGTGATAATCAGATCATCATATTTTTTTTAAAAGCTTACATATTTTATTACTATTATTTAACAACGTGAGAAAACAGTAATTATATTAATATTTTATTTCCTACTTTTTCACTACAAGAAAGCCTTAAGCGACGGCACAAATAGCAACGATGCTGGCTTTAGCGACAGCACAAATAGCAACGATGCTTGCTTTAGCGGCGACATGACGCACCTAATGTCGCCGCTAAAGCCAGAGTCGTCGCTAAAGGTGGCGTTGCTAAAGATTCACATCAGGTCAATGCCAAGATTCAATCTTGGTCCTACATTCTTTCGTTGATCTAATGGTTGGGTTCCTCCGTACATACCCAATAGCGGCGTCCTAAATAGCGATGTCGATGTCGTCGCTAATGGTCTCGAAAATATGAGCGGGAATACCTCTCTCCAACTCGTCACCGCAATTAGGGTTATCCCTTTAGTTGGTGTCTAGTCCCAGAACAGCTACTCACGATCATTTTCTCTCCCACCTTCGATTCTCCGGCATCCTTGATTTCTCTGGCGGTTTCAGTCGATTGTACTGACGATTTCAGTCGAGATATTGTTTCCACCGGCGTCCTCCACCACTTACGCCGGCGACCTATTTCCATCCTCACCGAAGGTCGAGTTTACCGATGCTGATAAAACACTTCGAATCTCCAAGCTTCGTCGGTGACGGTAGGTGCTCATTTCCCTCTTTCCTCTTTCTTTATATATGTTGAACGGAATTTGCACTCTAGTTTGATGATTTTGGTGATTTTAGGGACTATTGCATACCACCACCGTCGCCGCACGGTTGTTCTCCGGCGAGTACAACAACCACAAAACCACCGGTGAAATCCCCTTCTTTCTCTTTCTCTTTATGTTCTAACCTTTTGTTTGAAGTTAATTTTCTGAATTGGTGGTTTTCAGGCACCAACATCACCACTGTGTTCTTCTCCGACGACCACCACTACAACGCCATCGTACAACACACTTTTTTGTTGATTTCCGGCCACAGGTGTGTTTTTTTATGAAATTGTGTATATGTTGAACACTTTTTCTGTTTATACGTTTCTTTGCATGCAAGAATGAAATTATTGATATAAATGTGTTTATTTTGTGGAATGTATGTGTGTATTTTGTGGTACATGTGTGTATTTGTATATATGAATGGATATATATATATATATATATATATATATATATATATATATATATATATATATATATTTGTTTATATGTTTCTTTGTGTGAAATTAGAAGTATGAAATTAGTTGTATTTGAGAAATATAAAATTAGAAGTATGAAGAATATGTATGTATTTGTATATGTGAATGAATGTGTACTTGTATGTATTTGTTTATATGTTTCTTTGTATATATGAAATATATAGTATTTGTATGTGTATATGTCTAATTAGTATATGTATAAATGTATTTAGTATGTGTATGTGTATTTGGTACATGTATATGTGTATTTGTATGCATGCATATAAAAATTAATGTATGTATGTGTATTTGTATGTAATAAAGATGTGTGTATAGTGTATGTATATGTGTTTAAAATGTATGTATGATGTTATGACTTAATTAGTTTAGTCCTCAAAACTACATAATATGTAAAGTATCATGTTATAATTGAAAAAACAAAAAGTAGGATGCTATAATTTACAATGTCTTTTAAAGTACGATACTATAACAAAAACAACACGATTATGATGCTATAAATAAAAATAAATATGAAAAACTACAATTTCGTAATAGAAAAATAAAAACAATAATAAGTTTATTTAAATAATAAAAATAAGGAAAATAAGATTATATAAATAACAAATATATACTACAATCGCTTAAAGTACAATGTTATAATAAAAATAAAAAATGAAAAATGAAAAATGAAGAAGCTAAATATACTAAGTTATAATTTAATAACTTAATTATTTAAAGTACAATGCTATAATAAAAAGCAGGGTTTTTAGTTTAACTCTCTTCCTTTTAAATCATCAAAAGCCTAGAAATCCTCGCCCGAAATTGATTTATAAATTAATTTCGGGCTGCCCCCGTTTTGGGACTGCTTTTTTAATACTTTATCTCATTTAGGATGTGAATGCGTATTACACGATTGATTGTTTAAGAAAGATTCGGTTGTTATTTTTTTTTTTGCTCATCGGATATATATATATATATATATATATATATATATATATATATATATATATATATATATATATATTTCTATATATACTTGGGATCTAAGGGGAAATTCTGCCGAATTTTTCTTAAACGGTCAATCATGTAATACACATTCACATATGATGTAAAATATTCAAAAAGTGGGTTTAGAAGCCTAACATTGTGAATACTCTATCTGATTTTGCAGTTACTCTATCCTTATGATATTCAATACGATTTTTAGTTCTTGTAGAGTAAACACTAAAACTTAAATTATATTTTAGTTGCAACATGATTGATAAAACCTGGACTACTATAAAAAACCGTAACTCTTCCGCGTTCTAACAATGACTCAAACCTTTTCTCGAGAGATCCAAAGCATGCGTCGATGACAAATGTCAAATCAGACGCCTGTGTAAGAAATGTTCTTTATCAACATATTTAATGTGGATAGACTTGTAAAGAGGTACTTTATATTCTAAAGTGGCAATTCTGCATGCATATAACAAGTATGAAAAAATGGATTTGCACCTCCTTCAAAAGTGAATGAATATAAATTATAGTACAACAGATTTTTCACAAGGAAAGATATGCTGCAGCTACGATCATACCCTATCGACCCTCCACAACAGAAATAGTCACATTATTCACAGATAAATCTTTTGTTTTGCTTTCATATGAGGTTGACTTTGAGTCCCCTCCACCTATCAGAAATGTTGGTCTGTTTGGAGTGGGTAATGATATGGACTCATTGAGAAGCATGGAGATCATCTCGGATGTTGTTGGCCTATCTGTTGCATTCTCTTGTACACAGAGAAGGGCAACATGAACAATTCTCAAGAACTGTTGTGCATCACAAGTATTTCCGAGTGAGGGGTCCTTCAATTCCAACGTATCCCCTTGTTGCCATAGCACCCATGCCTATATCATTCAGATATGATTTAATGATTTGATCTAATTTCCCTTACTTTACAACAAAGTGGTACGCTTAAACTATTTAATCAAATTCAACTAGTATGTAATTGTGTGAGGAAATATGTTAAAATCTGAACTTGACTTACGTATCCAATAAGACTATATGTGTCATCAAGATGGACGAAGCTACTATTTCTTCTTCCACTGACGATTTCCAGGATCAAGACTCCAAAGCTGAAGATATCAGACTTGATTGAGAAAACCCCCCTCATTGCGTACTCAGGAGACATATAACCACTGAATACAGCATGGTCACAAAAACTTTTTAGAAATTGATAGAATTGAATCAGAAAAAACAATAAATTCATCTAAAAGATACTCGATCTAGATTTGGATAATCGAGTTGATTCTCCTTGGTAATACTAAATCTAACTTTTTGCTGATAGATTAACCATGAAAGTATATAACTCAATGGGATTTTTGATACTTCAAGAGAGATGACTTACTATGTTCCAACCACCCGGTTAGTCATTGCCTCGGTCTCATTTTGATTGCATATTCTTGCCATACCAAAATCGGAAATCTTAGGGTTCATCCTCTCATCTAAAAGAATGTTATTAGCTTTTAGATCTCTATGAATAACTTTCATTCTTGAGTACTTATGCAAGTACAACAACCCTTGAGCAATTCCTTCAATAATGATAAATCGCTTAGGCCAATCCAACTCTGCCTTTCTGTTTTCATCTGCAAGCCAGTGAAAGAGTCTATAATGAATATAACAAGTAAAAGCATCTATAATGAATATCACATGTAAAAGCACGGAATGCATTTATGTTTCAAACAATGCATACCAAATACAAAGAAATCTAAACTTTTGTTGGGCATATATTCATATATTATCATCTTTTCTTCTCCGTGAATGCGACAACCAAGAACTCGAACAAGATTTGTATGCTGAAGTTTAGCTATGAGTACTAGTTCATTCTGGAATTCCACAAGCCCTTGCCTTGATGTTCTTGAAGCCTTTTGATTGCAATTTCTCTCCCATCACTTAGTTTTCCCTGTTTTTATAATTGCATGATCTATCTTTTTGTTAAAAGAGATATACAAATGCGAGAACCAAAAAGATCTATCATAAAAGTTTGAGGTGACAGTAGTGTAACCTTGTAAACAGGTCCAAAACCACCTTGTCCAAGCTTATTTTCAACTGAGAAATCATTGGTAGCAGCCATGATAGAGGGAAAGCTAAATAATAATAAATCATTTCCTTTCACACCATCTGTTTCAAGCTGATGTACATCCTTGAAGCTTTCAGAAGTTGTCAGCTCCACGAAATATTCATCTCTCTTCCGTCTCTCATATTCTACAATCAATATCAGTGACATAACAAAAGATGCAACTAGAAAGTACAAACATAAGCTAGATTCAAATTATATACCTTTTTGTCTATGCTTTCTCTTCTTTATATACCATAAAGTCCCAAAACAAAGGAAAACAAGAGGAATGGAAACACTAATTGATATCCATATCCAATTCTTGCACTTTTGTGTTTCGTTTCCTGCATTTTGGCATGTTTAGTTTTAAGGTGGCATAAATGGCAGCAAAAACCAATGGAAATCGACATTATTACCTGTACTTTGATTTTCTGGATTTTGGCTGATCACATACTTTGATGTAGAGTTATCATGAGGATTAACCAAAAACCTATTGATTCCTATCCAAATTACACAACCATTTCCATTGGTGGTATTACTATTAAACCCCACACACTTGAAATCATTCCAGCACCTAACAAAACAATCGTTAATGCTTAAATTTTCAAAACAATTTTTTATTTTTCAAACAACATAATTATCATTTAAACATTCTCAAATCTCATGTTCAACAATTGTCATCAAATAAAACATATCCCAAGATCACAAATAAAATCCTCGGTCTGTGTGTACGGATCATGCCGGCGCCTTCCCGCGATCATCGCTAGTACCTGAAACACATTACACATAACACTGTAAGCATAAATGCTTAGTGAGTTCCCCAAAATACCACATACAACACATATTAGCCACTCGAGGCTATAACTCTGTATGACCCTCTGGTCAAAGTGTCTCAGTGGGACCCTCCAGTCCCATAACTCTGTGGACCCTCTGGCCCTAACTCTATGGACCTTCCGGTCCTAACTCTGTAATCTCTGAATCACACATAGCACAGAATCACATAGATATCACATCATATATTAGCATACAACATACTCTGTCACATACTCTAATTACCATTCTAGGTAAAGTATAGTGAGAAGACTCACCTCGGGTAACTCGGTAAATCTCGAACTCGGAAATACTGATCTAGCCTCCGCCTAATCACATAAAATAATTACTCTAATCAATACGACTCTCAAAGGCTAGGCTATTCCCTCTCTAAGTTCTCTCAGGAGGGTAAAAGACCATTTTACCCCTCCAATGGCTCAAAAGTCCAAACATTGACTAGACCCTAAAAGTCAACGAAAGTCAACAGTCAACTTTGACTAGACTCGTCGAGTGCACATAGGTGACTCGGCGAGTCCAAGCGTGTCCTCTGGGTCTATCTAAACCTCACTCGACTCGTCGAGCGAACCTTCCACTCGACGGGTTACCACTGGTCATGAATCGCAGGGCAACCCGACTCGACTCGTCGAGTCCCCTTATGGACTCGGCGAGTTCCTTCCATGGCAACACTCAAACGACCTTCTGAGGTCAGATCTGCTTCTCCAACTAGTAGATCTAACCTTCTAGCACTCAAAAGTCACGTAAAGGTTCGAACTTTAGGCCCATGCATCACACTATCATCTCTATATGCCAAAATAACCCTTAATATGATAACCTAGGCCCCAAAACTCATAAAGGATTGCATAAAGCTGAAGAATATGGACTCTCTAGACCTCCCAAGGTCCAGATCTGATAATATTGTCACAAGGGGACATCACACACACTAGATCTCTTACCAACAGTGAAGAGAAGAAACCCTAGATTCATGAAATCTATTACTCAAATGAAGATGGACATGAATCCTTACCTCCCACAGCAGCTCTGAACGAAATGATGGAAGATTTGAGTCCCACAAGTCAGCCTAGCTCGAAATCCTTCCTTCCCTTTGCTAAAACACACCAAAGAATGATGAATTATCCCTCCTCTTACTCTACAAGCTTTCTCTCTGCTCTCTAGGGTTTCTCAGGGGTGTAGTGGCCGCAAATGAAGGCCATAAAGGCCTTTAAATAGGGCACATGCCCAAAGATTAAGGGTTTCTGCCGCCAGCACAGACTCGTCGAGTCACCTAGCCGACTCGTCGAGTCCATTCATTAATCCAGTCAGCGAATCGCGATCCTACTCGACGAGTCTAGGCGTCAACTCGTCGAGTCCCTCTCTTTAACTCAAAATAAAAGGTTAAAATAAAATAACTGGGAATCCGGATGTTACATGTATATATTTGTTTATATGTTTCTTTGTATATGTGAAATATATAGTATTTGTATGTGTATATGTGTAATTAGTATATGTATAAGTGTATTTGGTACATGTATATATGTATTTGTACGCAAGCACATAGAAATTAATGTATGTATGTGTATTTGTATGTAATGACCATGTGTGTATAATGTATATATATATGTGTTTAAAATGCATGTATGATGTTATGACTTAATTAGGTGTAGATGTCGAATGTAGTTGTGAGGTGTCGATTGTCATTGATTAGTTTCGATAGTTTGTAATGTTATTACAAGGGCTTGTTATGTTTCGAAGCTTACTGTGTCTAGTCTCTTGTATTTTTTGTTCTCTTTCATGTTCCCTATAAATAGGGAATTGTACTAGAGTCAGAGAAGAACTTTTCGTGTAATTGTCTAAAACACTTTGTCCTCATGAAAGCTTAATTGAGCCAAACATATATTATTTAGATGTTGTGTTCATCATTCATAATTTTACTCTTGTCTCGTAATACATACTTGATTTCATTACGGCTACATTTGGTATCAGAGCAGGATTCATACAGAATTGTTCTAACTTTCTGAGTTTTAGCAAAAGTTTTGAGTCTCATGTTAGATCTCAATTTTCCGCTCTTTTGCTTCAGAAAATAATCTTAGATCTTCTATTGTGAGTCAATTTTGCATTCTAGTTGTAAAATCGAGTGTTTGATTGGTGTTTTCTGAGTGTTTTAGCTGTTTGATCTCATTCCAATTTAAGCTTTTCTCAAAAACATTCCGTACAACAATAGCGAACTTCAACATGAACACGATGACGTCTTACTCTCATCTCCTTGGTTCATCAATGAAGATTCCAATGCTGATTCCCGAGTACTACGATCAGTGGGCTGATCGTATGGAGGATTACTTAAACGGAATCGATGAAGAACTATGGAAGTGTATTCTCGGTGATGTTCGTCCACCTCCTGCTGTATAGAGTATTGGAACTTCTTCCAACAATCAAAATGTCAATGAACAAACTGAAAGATTGTTGAAGAATGAGAAGAAGTGTATGAGAGAACCCAGAGGTGCTCTACCTCCTGTTGTTTACAATTACGTTCGTAGTTGTAAAACTGCAAAAGAGATCTGGAATACTCTAAAGAAAAAGTATCAAGGGAGTGAAAAGACAAAAATCATTCAGCGAAAAATTGTGTGGTTGAATTAAGTGAATTTAAACAAAAAGAAAGTGAATCCATCGAATTGTACTATGATCGTCTGAATGAGCTCATCTACAAGTGCAATCGATATCGGAGCACCAGGTCAACTATGGAGTTTAATCTCACATTCATAATGGGCTTCGTAAAGAGTGGCAAAATGTTAGTCTGTTAGTCTGATGGAATGAAATATCAGATTCCGCTTGACTGAATTTAAACATGTTTGTTTGCTCTTGTGAATGTGTATACAATTGACTGACACCATGAGGAAATTGAAGAGACAAATTAACATGATTTAAAACCTAAACTAATAAGGGAATGTAAACGGATGATATCTATAAATTAGTTATATATTTCCACAAATGCAGCCCAAACACATTTCAATGATGCTTCTATTTAGTGACCAGGCTTCCCCAATCAGGTTGCATAAACACCAAACTTTCTAGACTGAGAAAGCTTTGAAATTTAGCTAATAATGAATCTACCATCCACAAGCCTGCACAAGATGTTCTTTACTTTATCAACATATTTAATATGGATAGACCTGTAAAGAGGGTCCTTTATATTCTGAAGTGGCAATTCTGCATGCATATAACAATTAACAAGTATAGAAAAATGGATTTGCATCTCCTACAAAAGTGAATAAATATAAATTATATTACAGAAAAGTTTTCCACAAAGAATGATATGCTGAAGCTACGTTCATACCCTATCGACCCCCAACAACAGAGATGGTCACATTATTCACAGAGAAATCTTCTGCTTTGGTTTCATATGAAGTTGACTTTGAGGCGCCTCCACCTATCAGAAATGTTGGTCTGTTTGGAGTGGGTAATGATATGGAGTCATTGAGAAGCATGGAGATCATCCCTGACGTTGTTGGCCTATCTATTGCATTCTCTTGTACACACAGAAGGGCAACATGAACAGTCCTCAAGAATTGTTGTTCATTACAAGTATTTCCAAGTGACGGGTCCTTCAATTCCAACGAATCCCCTTGTTGCCATAGCACCCATGCCTAAATCATTCAAATAAGATTAATGATTTTGATCGACTTTTTTCCCCTTACTTTCCAACAAAGTGGTAAGGTTAAATTGTTTAATAAAATTCAACTAGTCAAATCCCCTTTGGTTCTGTAGCATACGTTAGTTAAGCCGTTTGGACATCGTGAATATATAGCTAGGTCAACCGAAATATATAATTGTGGGAGCAAATAAAGTAATATGGTACTCTCATTTTCATTGAAGATTGTATAGTGTGTAAAGATGTTAAAAGGAGATTTTGACTATACTTACATATCCAATAAGACTGAATGTCTCATCAAGATGAAAGAGGCTACTATTTCTTCTTCCACTGATGATTTCCAGGATCAATACTCCAAAGCTGAAGATATCGGACTTGATTGAGAAAACCCCCCTCATTGCATACTCAGGAGACATATAACCACTGAATACAAAATGGTCACCAACACTTTTTAGAAATAGATAGCATGGAATCAGAAAAACAACAAATTCATCTAAAAGATACTCTATCTATAATTGGATAATTGTGTTAGTTCTCATTTGTAATATTAAATCTAACTTTTTGCTAACAGATTGACCATCAAAGCATATAACTCAATGGGATTTTTGTTACTTCAAGAGAGATGATCACTTACTATGTTCCAACCACCCTGTTAGTCATTGACTCGGTCTCGTTCTGCTCGCATATTCTTGCCATTCCAAAATCAGAAATCTTGGGGTTCATACTCTCATCTAAAAGAATGTTATTAGCTTTTAGATCCCTATGAATAACTTTCATTCTTGAGTACTTATGCAAGTACAACAACCCTTGAGCAATTCCTTCAATAATGATAAATCGTTTAGGCCAATCCAACTCTGCCTTTCTGTTTTCATCTGCAAAAGCCAGTGAAAGAGTTTATAGTGAATATCACAAGTAAATTAAAGAATTGAATGCACATATATTTCAAACAATGCATACCAAATACGAAGAAATCTAAACTTTTGTTGGGCATATATTCATATATTAACATCTTTTCTTCTCCGTGAATGCAACAACCAAGAACTCGAACAAGATTTGTATGCTGAAGTTTAGCTATGAGCACTAGTTCATTCTTAAATTCCACAAGCCCTTGACTTGACGTTCTTGAAAGCCTTTTGATTGCAATTTCTCGCCCATCACTTAGTTTTCCCTGTTTTCATAATTGGATGATATATCTTTTTGTTAAAATAGATATACATATGCAAGATCCAAAAAGATCTATCATAAAAATTTGAAGTGACAGTAGCGTAACTTTTGTAAACAGGTCCAAAACCACCTTGTCCGAGCTTATTTTCAATTGAGAAATCATTGGTGGCAGCCATGATAGAGGCAAAGCTAAACAATAGCAAATCATTTCCTTTCACACCATCCGGTTCAAGTCGATGTACATCCTTGAAGCTTTCAGAAGTTGTCAGCTCCACGAAATATTCATCTCTCTTCCGTCTTTTGTATTCTAAAATCAACATCAGTGACTTAACAAAAGATGCAACTAGAAAGTACAAACATAAGCTGGATTTAATATCGTTGATGGTTTTATACCTTTTTGTCTACGCTTCCTCTTCTTTATATACCATAAAGCCCCAAAACAAAGGAAAACAAGAGTGATGGAAACACTAATGGATATCCATATCCAATTCTTGCTCTTTTGTGTTTTGTTTCCTGCAGTGTAGATTGTTTAGTTTTAAGGAGGTGTAAATGGTAGCAAAAACCATTAGAAATCAACATTATTACCTGTATTTCGATTGCCTAGATTTTGGCTGATCACATACTTTGAAAGTAGAGTTATCATGAGGATTAACCAAAAAACTATTGATACCTGTCCAAATTACACAACCACTTCCATTGATGGTACTGCTACTAAACCCCACACAATTGCAATCATTCCAGCACTTATCAAAACAATCGTTAATGCTTAAGCTTGAGTTCCCATCAGTTGCACTTTTTGTCCTATCTTGAGCAAAATCCCCATTCTTTTTACTAAAATTATCGTTCTCTGTCCTGCACTGAGGTAAACTCGACTCCATGCAACCATTACCAGAATCATATCCATAACAAAACTCAGGGCTCCAAGCAGTAGCATTATTAATATCTCTAATTTGGCCTTTTGGTGTTAAAATCCACATGGGTAAAGCAGCAATATTACCGTCATAGCTAAAGTATCTTGCTTTATTGTTGTATACAGAAGTGAGATTATACATGGATTGACTACCTGGGCCATTCAATGCAAACATATATTGAAATATTTTGTTGTTTAGATTCCCACTAGTCCAGTAGGGTCGTCCTCGTCGTCGAATCATTAATCTCTGGGATCCTTTTTGAGTGGGTTCCCAACTCAGAGTAAAAGGTCCTGATTCAGGGTTTTCATTGCTCAACCAAGAAGTCAAAGTCCAATTCTGGCCTGCTGTCATGTCATACCCAAGCTTCATGCCAGGTAAAAGTACATTGGTTGGGTGATCAAAACTCTGCCACAAAACTCTTTTGTCAACTTGGTTAATCAGCCGGAAATTACCATTATCTTCGAGGGTTGCAGTCACATTTGCGTTTGGACCCAGTTTAACATCGGTGATTCTCATTAGAGTTTTGGATCCTGCACTGATGACCAAGTCTCCGGTTTTGGCACTGATGGATAGGGTATGAGTGCCTGGGGTGGATATGATCGGTGCATTTGGATTAGCTACCCATACTTTTGTGGATAGAACATCGCTTGTGTACCAAATTCCCAAGTAACTGTAATCTTCACCAAAGAACCCTAATGTAAAATTTCCACGCACCGAAACAAGCTGGTCTGTAGACTTGAGTTGGCCACCAAGTTTGATTGTTGAAAATGAATCTGCAGCAGCACAAAATCTAATGGTGTAATCGGCACCATTACAAGTAAATGTAGTAGTCTGTAGATCCCATAGATCGGACGGGGTACTATACGTAAAAGATCTTGGGCACGCTGATCGAAACAACTGATCATATGCTGTTGGCTTGCACGATGAGGGTGACGAGAAAGAGTCACTGCAACAATACTCTGGAGAGTGAAAGGCCATGCAAGCGCTCATACACACCTTTCCATCGGCTGAACTTAGCTCGGTTGGACACCGCTGATTCAAGTCTTCAACACATCCCGTCTTAGCACAACTACGTAAACTGGAACCTGAACCGGAAGTCGCCTCCACAAGTATTGGCAAATTGTAGCCCTGGGCAATGTTGACATGATAAAAATCCTGGCTGTGGATTTGGGTTTGATTGATTCTGAAATCAACAACTGTGGCGGGTATCGTTACATCATATACACTACAAGCCATATCATTGGTGCCATTGATTCTGCAGTCACCTGTGGCACACGACCATTTACCTGACCTATTATAGTTGCAACCTGTCTGACCCCATATACTACCAAGCCATACACTCGGAGCTTCAAAAGAGCGTGAAGTACCCTTTGTGAGCTCAAATGTAGTTTCATTTAAACTCGTTGTGCTAATGATACAGGCCAAATGGTGAACCCACAGTCGTTTACAATATTAAAAGTAACCCCCAAGGTTCCTGCAAATTCGTATAAAATTGCATTAAGAACAAAATCTTACTGTTTATTTTTGGATACAGAAGCATATATGTACCTTTAGAAAAGAAGAGGAAAACGAGAAAACTCAGAATTTGAGAAACCACTGCTACATGAACTTGTGAAGATGCTGCTAACAACGACCAAGAACCCATTATTCATTCTAATCTTGTATTTTCTAGAAAATAGTATCGATTTCTCAAAAAGATGTGTAACTAAAGTTAGAGACGTGAATCTTCATCTCGATGTTACTGCTTGTATCCATATTGATGTTAGGCTTGAATGGAGCCAAGATCATCCATGATGGCCTTTGGGTGGTGGTGGTGGTTGTCAAACTTTCTTTTAGATTAATTATTAACTGGTAGTGGTGGTGATTTAAAAACTAAATATGTTCCACGTTTATTAAGGAAATATGCTAAGCAGAAGGAAACGTAATATTTGATAAAGCCAACTGAACGCGCAGCATGTTCATTAGAATTGGATGTATATAGTTGACCGGGTCAACACCATGGCATCTTTGTCTAGCACCATTCTCAATACTCGGTAAGCCAAGGCTTGAATATTATAATTCACTCGTGGTTTTCTTTGCATAATATACAAATGGGGACTTCCCAAAGTAATTCTACTAATGATACGTGCTTGGCTGCGTCGTCATCTTTACAGTTGCACATGGTAATATTGTGTCTCATTTGACAATTGCACATGGACATTGAGCAATGTGATAATCAGATCATCATATTTTTTTTAAAAGCTTACATATTTTATTACTATTATTTAACAACGTGAGAAAACAGTAATTATATTAATATTTTATTTCCTACTTTTTCACTACAAGAAAGCCTTAAGCGACGCCATCTTTTAGCAACGATGCTGGCTTTAGCGGCGACATGACGCGTCGTCTAATGTCGCCGCTAAAGCCAGAGTCGTCGCTAAAGGTGGCGTCGCTAAAGATTCACATCAGGTCAATGTTAAGATTCAATCTTGGTCCTACATTCTTTCGTTGATCTAACGGTTGGGTTCCTCCGTACATACCCAATAGCGGCGTCCTAAATAGCGATGTCGATGTCGTCGCTAATGGTCTCGAAAATATGAGCGGGAATACCTCTCTCCAACTCGTCACCGCAATTAGGGTTATCCCTTTAGTTGGTGTCTAGTCCCAGAACAGCTACTCACGATCATTTTCTCTCCCACCTTCGATTCTCCGGCATCCTTGATTTCTCTGGCGGTTTCAGTTGAGTGTACTGACGATTTCAGTCGAGATATCGTTTCCACCGGCGTCCTCCACCACTTACGCCGGCGACCTATTTCCATCCTCACCGAAGGTCGAGTTTACTAATGCTGATAAAACACTTCGAATCTCCAAGCTTCGTCGGTGACGGTAGGTGCTCATTTCCCTCTTTCCTCTTTCTTTATATATGTTGAACGGAATTTGCACTCTAGTTTGATGATTTTGGTGATTTTAGGGACTATTGTATATGTTGAACACTTTTTCTGTTTATACGTTTCTTTGCATGCAAGAATGAAATTATTGATATAAATGTGTTTATTTTGTGGAATGTATGTGTGTATTTTGTGGTACATGTGTGTATTTGTATATATGAATGGATGTGTATTTATATATATATATATATATATATATATATATATATATATATATATATATATATATATATTTGTTTATATGTTTCTTTGTGTGAAATTAGAAGTATGAAATTAGTTGTATTTGAGAAATATAAAATTAGAAGTATGAAGAATATGTGTGTATTTGTATATGTGAATGAATGTGTACTTGTATGTATTTGTTTATATGTTTCTTTGTATATATGAAATATATAGTATTTGTATGTGTATATGTCTAATTAGTATATGTATAAATGTATTTAGTATGTGTATGTGTATTTGGTACATGTATATGTGTATTTGTATGCATGCAAATAAAAATTAATGTATGTATGTGTATTTGTATGTAATAAAGATGTGTGTATAGTGTATGTATATGTGTTTAAAATGTATGTATGATGTTATGGCTTAATTAGTTTAGTCCTCAAAACTACATAATATGTAAAGTATCATGTTATAATTGAAAAAACAAAAAGTAGGATGCTATAATTTACAATGTCTTTTAAAGTACGATACTATAATAAAAACAACACGATTATGATGCTATAAATAAAAATAAATATGAAAAACTACAATTTCGTAATAGAAAAATAAAAACAATAATAAGTTTATTTAAATAATAAAAATAACGAAAATAAGATTATATAAATAACAAATATATACTACAATCACTTAAAGTACAATGTTATAATAAAAATAAAAAATGAAAAATGAAAAATGAAGAAGCTAAATATACTAAGTTATAATTTAATAACTTAATTATTTAAAATACAATGCTATAATAAAAAGTAGGGTTTTTAGTTTAACTCTCTTCCTTTTAAATCATCAAAAGCCTAGAATCCTCGCCCGAAATTGATTTATAAATTAATTTCGGGCTGCCCCCGTTTTGGGACTGCTTTTTTAATACTTTATCTCATTTAGGATGTGAATGCGTATTACACGATTGATTGTTTAAGAAAGATTCGGTTGTTATTTTTTTTTTGCTCATCGGATATATATATATATATATATATATATATATATATATATATATATATATATATATATATATATATACTCCCAAGGGGAAATTCTGCCGAATTTTTCTTAAACGGTCAATCATGTAATACACATTCACATATGATGTAAAATATTCAAAAAGTGGGTTTAGAAGCCTAACATTGTGAATACTCTATCTGATTTTGCAGTTACTCTATCCTTATGATATTCAATACGATTTTTAGTTCTTGTAGAGTAAACACTAAAACTTAAATTATATTTTAGTTGCAACATGATTGATAAAACCTGGACTACTATAAAAAACCGTAACTCTTCCGCGTTCTAACAATGACTCAAACCTTTTCTCGAGAGATCCAAAGCATGCGTCGATGACAAATGTCAAATCAGACGCCTGTGTAAGAAATGTTCTTTATCAACATATTTAATGTGGATAGACTTGTAAAGAGGTACTTTATATTCTAAAGTGGCAATTCTGCATGCATATAACAAGTATGAAAAAATGGATTTGCACCTCCTTCAAAAGTGAATGAATACAAATTATAGTACAACAGATTTTTCACAAGGAAAGATATGTTGCAGCTACGATCATACCCTATCGACCCTCCACAACAGAAATAGTCACATTATTCACAGATAAATCTTTTGTTTTGCTTTCATATGAGGTTGACTTTGAGTCCCCTCCACCTATCAGAAATGTTGGTCTGTTTGGAGTGGGTAATGATATGGACTCATTGAGAAGCATGGAGATCATCTCGGATGTTGTTGGCCTATCTGTTGCATTCTCTTGTACACAGAGAAGGGCAACATGAACAATTCTCAAGAACTGTTGTGCATCACAAGTATTTCCGAGTGAGGGGTCCTTCAATTCCAACGTATCCCCTTGTTGCCATAGCACCCATGCCTATATCATTCAGATATGATTTAATGATTTGATCTAATTTCCCTTACTTTACAACAAAGTGGTACGCTTAAACTATTTAATCAAATTCAACTAGTATGTAATTGTGTGAGGAAATATGTTAAAATCTGAACTTGACTTACGTATCCAATAAGACTATATGTGTCATCAAGATGGACGAAGCTACTATTTCTTCTTCCACTGACGATTTCCAGGATCAAGACTCCAAAGCTGAAGATATCAGACTTGATTGAGAAAACCCCCCTCATTGCGTACTCAGGAGACATATAACCACTGAATACAGCATGGTCACAAAAACTTTTTAGAAATTGATAGAATTGAATCAGAAAAACAATAAATTCATCTAAAAGATACTCGATCTAGATTTGGATAATCGAGTTGATTCTCCTTGGTAATACTAAATCTAACTTTTTGCTGATAGATTAACCATGAAAGTATATAACTCAATGGGATTTTTGATACTTCAAGAGAGATGACTTACTATGTTCCAACCACCCGGTTAGTCATTGCCTCGGTCTCATTTTGATTGCATATTCTTGCCATACCAAAATCGGAAATCTTAGGGTTCATCCTCTCATCTAAAAGAATGTTATTAGCTTTTAGATCTCTATGAATAACTTTCATTCTTGAGTACTTATGCAAGTACAACAACCCTTGAGCAATTCCTTCAATAATGATAAATCGCTTAGGCCAATCCAACTCTGCCTTTCTGTTTTCATCTGCAAGCCAGTGAAAGAGTCTATAATGAATATAACAAGTAAAAGCATCTATAATGAATATCACATGTAAAAGCACGGAATGCATTTATGTTTCAAACAATGCATACCAAATACAAAGAAATCTAAACTTTTGTTGGGCATATATTCATATATTATCATCTTTTCTTCTCCGTGAATGCGACAACCAAGAACTCGAACAAGATTTGTATGCTGAAGTTTAGCTATGAGTACTAGTTCATTCTGGAATTCCACAAGCCCTTGCCTTGATGTTCTTGAAGCCTTTTGATTGCAATTTCTCTCCCATCACTTAGTTTTCCCTGTTTTTATAATTGCATGATCTATCTTTTTGTTAAAAGAGATATACAAATGCGAGAACCAAAAAGATCTATCATAAAAGTTTGAGGTGACAGTAGTGTAACCTTGTAAACAGGTCCAAAACCACCTTGTCCAAGCTTATTTTCAACTGAGAAATCATTGGTAGCAGCCATGATAGAGGGAAAGCTAAATAATAATAAATCATTTCCTTTCACACCATCTGTTTCAAGCTGATGTACATCCTTGAAGCTTTCAGAAGTTGTCAGCTCCACGAAATATTCATCTCTCTTCCGTCTCTCATATTCTACAATCAATATCAGTGACATAACAAAAGATGCAACTAGAAAGTACAAACATAAGCTAGATTCAAATTATATACCTTTTTGTCTATGCTTTCTCTTCTTTATATACCATAAAGTCCCAAAACAAAGGAAAACAAGAGGAATGGAAACACTAATTGATATCCATATCCAATTCTTGCTCTTTTGTGTTTCGTTTCCTGCATTTTGGCATGTTTAGTTTTAAGGTGGCATAAATGGCAGCAAAAACCATTGGAAATCGACATTATTACCTGTACTTCGATTTTCTGGATTTTGGCTGATCACATACTTTGATGTAGAGTTATCATGAGGATTAACCAAAAACCTATTGATTCCTATCCAAATTACACAACCATTTCCATTGGTGGTATTACATTAAACCCCACACACTTGAAATCATTCCAGCACCTAACAAAACAATCGTTAATGCTTAAGCTTGAGTTCCCATCAATAACACCTTTTGTCATATCCTGAGAAAAATCCCCATTCTTTTTAATAAAATTATCGTTCTCTGTCCTGCACTGAGGCAAAATCGACTCCACGCAACCATTAGCGGAATCGTACCCATAACAAAACTGAGGGCTCCAAGTAGTAGCATTATTAATATCTCTAATTTGGCCTTTTGGTGTCAAAATCCACATGGGTAAAACAGAAGTACTACCATCATAGGTAAAGTATCTTGCTTTATTGTTGTAAACAGAAGTGAGATTATACATAGATTGACTACCTGGGCCATTCAATGCAAACATATATTCAAATACTTGGTTGTTTAGATTCCCACTAGTCCAGTAGGGCAGACCTCGTCGTCGAATGATTAATCTCTGGGATCCTTTTTGAGTGGGTTCCCAACTCAGAGTAAAAGGTCCTGATTTAGGGTTTTCATTGTTCAACCAAGAAGTCAAGGTCCAATTCTTCCCTTTCCATGTCATACCCAAGCTTCATGCCAGGTAAAAGTACATTGGTTGGGTGATCAAAACTCTGCCATAAAACCCTTTTGTCAATTTGGTTAATCAGCTGGAAATTACCATTATCTTCGAGGGTTGCAGTCACGTTTGCGTTTGGACCAATTTTAACATCGGTGATTCTCATTAGAGTTCTCGATCCTTCACTGATGATCAAGTCTCCGGTTTTGGCACTGATGGATAAGGCATGAGCCCCTGAGGTGGATATGATCGGTGTATTTGGATTGGCTACCCATACTTTCGTGGATTCAACATCGTGGGTGTACCAAATTCCCAAGTATCTGTCATCTTTCCCAAAGAACCCTAATGTGAAATTTCCACGCTTCGATATAAGCTGGTCCGTAGAGTTAAGTTGACTGCCAAGTTTGATTGTTGAAAATGAATCGGGTGCGGGACAAAATCTGATTATGTAATCAGCACCCGTACACATAAATGTTGTAGTCGTGGTGTTAAAGGATCTCGGGCATGCCGATTCAAACAACAGAGTGTATGGTGCTGACTTGCAGGTGGAGGGTAGTCTTGACGATGATGAGGTGCTGCAACAATACTCTTTGTGAGCGAAAGGCCTCACAAGCGGTCATACATGTTACTCCACTGGACCAAAGAAGCTCTGTTGGACACCGTTGTAACAAGTCGTCAACACAACCAGTCTTCGTGCAACTGTGTAATCCAGAACCTGACCCACCGGTTGCCTCCACAAGCATTGGCAAATTGTAGCCCTTGAAAATGCTGACATCATAAAAGTCTTGGCCCCTGGTTCGATTGAGACTGAATTCTGCAATCGTAGTGGGTGATATGCTTTTGTTTCCACCACACTCCATTTCACCGATGTCACAGTCACCCGTGGAGCAAGACCACCAACCCGGCCAATTCGAGTTGCAACCGGTCCTACCCCATATGCGACCCACCCACTCAGGCGGAGCTTCAAAAGAGCGTGAATTACCCTTTGTAAGCTCGAATCCAGTTAAGTTTGGAAGAGGAAGACCAAAGATTACTGGCCAAACAGTGAATCTACATTCGTTTACGATAGTAAAAGTAACCCCCAAAGCTCCTGCAAATTTGTAAAAAAAATTACATCAAGCACAAAATCTGTGTGTGTGAGAGACTGAGAGCCAGATTTTGGTAAGGAGACACATATATACCATTAGAAAAGAAGAGGAAGATAAGAAAGCAAAGAATATGAGAAACCGCTGCTACATGAAATTGTGAAGATGATGACCATGAAGAAGAAAAACCCATCATGCCGTTGTATCTTCTAGAAAGAGTTCGGATCTCTAAAATAGTTGTTAGAGTAATGGTTGAAGACTTTATTTTTTATCTTGGTATACTTCTGCTGTGTCCATATTGACGTTAGAATTTGGGTGCAGCTAAGATCCTTGATGCTAGCAGCTCGTTCATGGCTGCTTCGGGTGGTGTGGTTGTCGGAACTTTCTTTCCGATTGATTATTAACGTTGTGAAGGTGATAGTGGCGATTTCAGAACTGAATGTGCTCCACACTCGCTTTTTCCAATATCAATAAATAAATAAATAATAAATAAATAAATAAATAAAAACACTATCCGGGAATAGAATTTACTTTAGAACCCATATTAACAATTTCAAAACATATTATTCATTTTGATCCCTCCACCAACTTTGAAGTTTCAAATATTAACAATTTCAAAAACAAATATTCATTTTGATCCCTACACGGTGTCCTACATATTTACCGCCGAACAAGCTAATGTCGTTTGCTTTACCGGCGGCAAATGCCAACCCCAATACATTTTTTGCCGGTAGCAAATCTCATAGGTATATTTTATGGATTGCAAATTATGAATTCTAACTATTGATTGGTCAATGGAGGTTATTATTATTTTTTTTAAAGTAAAAATATCATCACATCCTACTATAAATTGTGGCAATGGTAAAATCATTAGTAAGGTCGGTTACACTTTTACCCTTGACAAAACAATTATCACACCCTTTAGCCTTTTAATAAAAGAAACATTTTGATTGATACATGACACTTTTAAATGCACAATGATGCAACATGTCATTTCCATATTGAATTTATATTTATTTTTTATTTCATTTGATATAACTCCCAAAATTTAAAGAGTTTAAAATTGAATGCCATATTTTTTTTTTCATATATTCATAAAAGAAACTTATTTTCTTTTGTAATGCTTTAGAATTCACTTGATACAAACCCTTATTTAAAGGGTTTAATATTAAATAGCAATCTATTCTCGATGTTCTTCGTACAATAATTTAAACATATTAAAAATAAAAAAAAATAATATATAGATATATATATATATATATATATATATAGATATATATATATATATATTCATTATTTACATATTTATAGTTATATATAATATTTTTTTTCTTATTGAACTTTTTTATATCTCATCAGTGTAGTAAATAAGTTTGTAAAATATATATATATATATATATATATATATATATAATATATATATATATATATATATATATATATATATATATATATATATATATTTGTCCATTGACCAATATTGATCAATGGTTGTGATTTAGATGGTGTTTTCATTAATTTTCATTAAAATGATTTGTTTTTAATTAATTTCAAGGGTAAATTGGTAAAACAATATGCATCTTTTTTAAGAATGTATACGGTTACTAAACTGATTCCGAAAACAACTCCCCTGTTTTGCAACACTAAGCCTCATTTTCCCTCATCTCTTCAGCCTCCATTTCCCTTGAGACGTTTTTGCAAACCCTGGCCCTTTGACCGTGTGTTTTGAGCTTAAATGTGTGTTCTTGGTGTGTTGAAGAATGAAAGAAGATACATTGAGGATCCTTGGTGTAGAAGCATCTTAGATCTGGGATTTATCTTTCATTTGCAAGCCTTTCAAGGTATAAAGCTTGCACCTTTGTCTTCTAATAGATCTAGAAATTTTGGTCCTAAAAGTCCCATCTTGTGCATGGGTTGTTTTTATCGTTTTGAGTTGTCCTTTCAAACCCTAGGATGGGTCCTTAGCCATAAAAATGAAGTCCCTTTGGTTAGATTTTGCTCCATGCATCTTGTAGGAGGTCTTAAAGGATTAAGACCTTGTGTTAAGCTCTTCTTAGGTGTGTAAAGTCATAAAGTTGGAAACTTTATGACTCTAGGGTGTGTTTTGATCATCGATCTGAAATATGGGCTTAAGTGCTTAAGCCATTAATCACTAAATGGAGTTTGGAGGATGCGAGGGTACGCCCCGCCTACATGGGAGTACGCCCCGCGTACTCGGTCAATCACCCCGATGAGCAGTCAGCTGCGAGGCTTCGCGTACGCTAAGCGTACCTTCGGAGTACGCCCCGCGTATTCGCACGGGCCAACCTTGTTGAGTTGACTCGGCTGGGTTGACTCAGTTGACTTAGTAGGTTTGACCAGTTGACTTTGACTTTGACCAATTTTAACCTTGAGGGTATTTTGGGATTTTGATGGAATTGGTCACTTGGTGGAAATAGGTATCGATTAGAGAGCTGAGATTCGGATTCGGACCTCATCAGTTCTGTTCAGTTTGCGAGGTGAGTTTTCCTCACTCTATTTACGGGTTGAAGGCACCAAGGCCGACCCATTGGTTTGATAACCTGATATTCATTGATATGCTAGTTTTTTTTATCTGTATATGTTAGTATCTATTATATGTCGACATATTGTGTGGGTTGGGTTGAGGTTGTATTGCTTCGTGGGGTAGCCAACAAACCCTGGAGCAATCCAAATATAAGTTGAGGGCCGGGTAAGGCATGCTAGACTCATACTGAGGGCTCATGAGCATTCCAAATATGAGTTGAGGGTCGGGTAAGGCATGTCATACTTGTACTGAGGGCTTGATGGTAGTCAGTCTGAGGAATGATCTGGCCGGGAGCAAGCCATACATAAGTTGTGGGCCCCGAGGACAAGCCAGACTTATGCTGTGGGCTCGGGGGTAATCCAGTCTTTTAGTTATGGACCCATTGCATGTTGTTATTGTATATACGTTATTTTTTTGTGTGTTGGTACTTTGGGGGAACTCACTAATATTTGGGCTTACAATTTTGGGTTATGTTTCAGGTACCTCAGATGACCACGGGAAGGCGAAGGCATGATCGTACACCTCCTCGTGTTATGGTTTATGATTTTGGGAAAACTCTGTTATTAAACATGTTTTGAAAACTATATTGTAAACAATGATGATTGTTGGATTGGTTTTAAAAGTTTAAATTTTTCATGACTATTATGGGTGTTACAAGTTGGGATCAGAGCCTTGGTTTGAGTGAATTGGAGGAACACTCGTGTGAATCCAATCTCAAACTAAGGGAGATTATGCGATGTATACGATCAGACGGAGCCAGTAAGTATACCTTAAATTACCACACAGTTATTTGAGATTATGTTATGATATGTTAGAACATCATGCTAGTAACAGGATAGGGATCTTTGGGAACTATATGATAGAATTGTTGGATATATGATGCCTTATCTCTTATAGAATACTTCATTGATTGTTGTATGAATCTTTCGCGTGTGAACTGACTATTGAGTGAATATGCCAAGTCACATGCTACATGGGTTAAACGATCTTAAGGTAAGGGATTTGGTCCTACTGCGCAGCTCTTGTCTAAGTCCAACCGTTGTAGTATTAAATCTATTAGTCTAAGACTGTTTAAGTTGTGCGGCATGCGATTGTATTCATGCGATAGTTATCTGGCACCAATGGAGGGTCGTGTAGCAGATTGTGATAGGATGAGTTATGTG